GTGTGCTCTTCCGATCTCCCCAAAACCCCAAAACCCCAAAACCCCTATTCCAGCATTTGGATCAATTTTTTAAATCCATTAAATTGACTATATTTATTTTTGATAAGTTTAAGTGTTTAATTGATCATTAAATAGAAAGTAAGTCAATTCTGTTTGAAATAGTAGGAAGTTATGTAAGAGTATCCTCTTCCAGTCTCTAGGTATTTGATATTGTTGAAGACATTTTCTTAATGCTGAATTTATTGTGAGCTATGGCTTAATTGCTGAAATTTCTTTTTAAGAAATGATTTCTATTAATTAAGGTATGAAAGTCATAATTGTTATTACTTGATCCGTCCTCTGTTTGATACATTTAGTACTGTTAGTATTTTAGAAACATATAGTGATCCCCTGTGGGCAAATTTTTCCTGTAGGAGGACTTCCTTCTAGTTTTAACCTTTTAATCTACTATCTACTAGTCATTATTTAGAGGAGATTAAGGTTTACTAACATCAGGTGATTAAACAACTGTCCTGGCCTGAATAATCTTATCCAGGAGATTTTCTCTTTTGTCAAGATTCTGCATTCTCATCATCTTCAGGTCTTTGATTTTAGTCTGATTTTGTGACCTCATATCAGTGGCAGCTGTTTCAGCCCTACTCTTCATCTTCTCATCGAACTACTTGATAATTTCATCTCCTGTTGTTGTGCCAAGATTAGTGTTGATTGATTTTAGCTTCAATTATAGCAGTTAATCATGGCTAACCTAATTTATTTTCTTTTGGTAATATTCTTACACCGTCGTGATTTTAGTAGGTGAAGTTTATTGCTAAAATATCTGTTCAAACTACTCTTTCTTCTGAAGCTTAAAAGCATCTTAGTATTCTTTCTATGCTGTCAAATATACCTTAAATTATTGCATTTTATTAGGAAAATCTAAGCCTAAGTTTTGGTTTATAATTCTCTGTATTTTGTGCAACTTTTTAGGGTTCTTTGAATCATCTGCACTGCTATTCTTACTATATTCTGAATCTCGCTTTATCAATGATGGATTTTTGGCAGGCTTTTTGTGATTATTAAGCTTAAATTGATTTAATAACTCTTGCAGTTGCAATGTTCCTTATCTATTCATCATACTTTATCTCGTGCCTTATTTCTCATGACATTTTATATCCGCTGAGCTATTTTCAGAGCTGTTACTAATTGTCATAAAAACTAAATTTAATTATCATATTTGAGGCTTACAATTTGGATTTATAATTATAGTTTCCCTTCTAGTAGTAAAGTTCATCTATTTTTTCTTGATTTTTTCCATCTTTCTAGCTAGCTTCTTATTATTTTACCTATTTCCATCCTGCCCTTACTGTTATAGTATTTTCTAAAAGTTTATGATCATTTCTTTCTCCTCATCTAAGACTAATATGTCTCCAAGTCTAGTCTTTTACCGCTAAGTGTTTCCATCACAGTGGCTGCAGAAACAAGACCTTCTTCTTACAAATTCAATGATTTTTTATCTTTTAGTAATATCATCTTAAAATATTCCCAAATTAGAGTAAGTAAAGGGAGAGTCTCGCAATCCAGCATCACTTTTAGGCGGTATTTCATCTCGTGATATATATTTTTATGTAATATCTCTTGAGTAACTATAACTAGTGTTAAGCCTCTTTGTATTAAATGAAGATACCTCCTCTGATATTATATTGTTATTGCTTCCATTGTCTTAGTTTCTACTTATAAAATCTTAACCCATTAGATACAAACTAATAAAGTCATCTTTCTCATAGCCTATTTCTTCTTCTTTGTGCACATTCAAATTCATTTGGCCCTTATTATTAGTGAATTTAAAGGGCAAAATCTGCACATCATCCATCGTTATTTTCTTCTTGTCATCATGCTAGTCGCATTTCTTTTGTTTTCTCTATTAATTTGCCTGCTAGCTTGATGCTCTCTTAGTGACTTATTTAGTTAACCTTCTCTTTAGAGTATTTTGGGACTATGCTATATTTTCAGTTTATTTATGAATGTTATCATTTTACTACTGCTGCTATTCCTAAATACCTTAAGTTTAAGGATCCTCTATTGGAATTGGCGAGTAAAGTTTGTTTACTGAGAAAGTCGGTCAAAAGTTTTTATTGCAAGCTGAGACTGGATTGTTTAATTTCTTTTTATTTCTGTGGCTATTTCTGCCAAGTACATCGAGAACTCTTTGACTTTTTAGTTACTGTAAGAATATCCCTTGATTTTTTGACTGTATTGTTTATAACCTTGCCACTGTTTGCTGCTTTTCCAATTTCTCCTTTCGCTCTCTTTCCTCTAGATTTTGCTAAGCTTTCATAATATTTTGCTCTGAGAAGTCTATCTTAGTATGCAACAAAATCTTTGAAATTGCAGCCCACATCGATGAAGTTGTATTCTAGTTAGCTTAAACAGCTTGAGGAGTTTTATTCTTGTCTCTATAATCAATTTACTCAAAACCTTCGAATTCCTTATCAGCTGAAAAGTAATAATCTGATGGATATGATACCTTTGGTATTTTGACGCTTGAAATGACTCAGAATGAATTTTGGATCTCTAATTGAAGATTAGCGCTTGAAGGCATTTAATGGCACTGACATGGCCCCTTTATTAGTTTGTTAATCCATTATTGACTTAAAGATGTTATATCAACTAATACTTAAAATAATTGATAAAAAATAAAAGATTAAGATTAATTTCAAACTTCAATCAGGATGTTTTTATTCGTGGGGTTTTGGGGTTTTGGGGTTTTGGGGTTTTGGGG